AGTTGGTTTTGAGGTTAGCCATCAGGCCCACTTAGCAAGGCAAACCTATGTAGGAAGTGAACTTTGGGATTATTGGCCCCGCCCCCTGACCTTTGCCCCCTGTCTTCCTTCCTTGCAGCCGGGGCCGGGAACAAGCTGGGCTGGGCGTTTGGTTTGGGTCTGGAGAGACTGGCCATGATCCTCTACAGCATCCCAGACATCCGGCTCTTCTGGAGTCGAGACGAGCGCTTCCTGAAGCAGTTCAGGGTGGAGGATGTCCAGCAGCCCATCTGCTTCCAGGTACAGACACACACTAACCAGACACTCTGCTTCTCACCTTTCTGTTGTCATCATTTATGTCAAAGGATTTTAGGAAACACAAAAACATTTCTGTTATATTTGCTTCTTTATGGAATCAGTATTTTAAGTCTTTTGGTTTCCATAAAGCATTTTCTGCTCTCTTTATTTCCATTGGTTTCATTGACACCATCTCCCCTCCTCCTCATCATCACTTCTATCTGCTGGGTCTCCATCACATCCTAACCAGGAGGAGTCAATAAGCTTTAAAACCTGATAGCAGACTTAGTGAATGTCAGACATTATCAACTCATCCTATTAGGAACCATCTGGTTATTTATCCGCTGCCAGACTTCAGGTTGTTATCTGCAGTAGGAATGCTATCGTTTGATCTCTACATGTTGATTTGTTGTATATCTGATTGGTATTTGACCTCGGCTACAGAAACAATTAATCAGATATAATGATGGGAAACGAAAACCAGTTCCTGTTCAGAACTGGTTCCATGTGTTCCAATTCCATGGCGCCGTCTGGCAGCTAGCTTAACGGTTCTCTTAACGGTTCCAGGCAGGAAACCAAAGCCTAGCGCTGGGCCGCACGACTTACGTCACATTTTTTACGCAAGTTACTCACACGGCTTTCCGTAAGCAAGTACGACGTGAGCAGACGTGAGTCTAGAAAAGCAAAAAAAATAAAAAATGGCGTCCCATCGGGTAAAGTGATCGAAAGTTCGGCTTCATTTTAAGGATGATAAAGATGGAAACAAGGCGCTTTGCAATCATTGCAAAGTGGTGATTACATCCGCAGGAGGAAACTTAACGAATGCATTTAACGGATGCCGTGTTTCTGATGCTTCCGGACAGCAGAGATGGGAAGTAACAAAGTACAAATACTTCGTTACTGTACTCAAGTAGA